GTAAGTGTAATGTAACCTGTTGTGGAAGCCCACTAAAGTCCTGTGGTTAAAAATATGATGTCTGAAGCAGCTTTGTCAATACCACTTCCTGTAAAAGGACACAGACTATCACAACTAAAAAAAAGAGCCAGTATTTTCTGAAAAAATAACTTTTCCAAAATACATATACTCCTAAAGTAATAATTTTAATTATTGTAAAGATGCAAAGACAAGAATATTTACCTGTATTACTGTGTCTTCCATTTATCTCCCCTTATATCAATTTTCCCTGGTAAAAGGAAAGAACTAGAAGAGAAATGAAGACAAGAATCCCCAAAGGAATCAAGAACCTTTGCGGCTTTTGAAGATAAAATAAAACTTTTCCACAGTGAAAGGAAGGTTTTTGGGAGGGAGTGAGAGAAGAAAAACTTTAGTGAAACAAATTTTAAAAACCCACCCCAAACTGACAAAACAGAAATTGTTGCACCATTAGCTGCATTTCAAACCTCATATAATAAGGGCAGCCAGCCTGCAAATCTGGAAGGGAATTCGGCCCATGTTATTGGTGGATGATTTCAACACAGCCCCAAGGGAAATGCATTTAAAGATCCATATGTTTGCTTGGCATCAAACCAAGTTCCATTAAATAACTGTATTCAGCTACACAACAAATTTACTTACCATACATTTCATATGAGAACTAATTTGTTTGATAGCAATATTGCTGATGTTTATATTGGTTTACTGTAATGAAAACAGTATTTTCCAAACTATGAACAAATGCATACCCGTAGTTTTACAGCGGCTTAACGAAAGTACTGGTAGTACTTCAAGAAGGGAATTTATACAATATGTACATTTCTCAGTGCTTCTCATGCCAAGCATAGTAAGGGGGTTCCACTATGAAGGTGGAACTTGCTTTTGTCACCAGCAGAGCTGATCTAAGTCCCTTTGTGAGCCATGCAGGGAGCACGAGGCCAGCAGGACTATGGGCAATTCCAGGCTTGACAGCTTGCTGGGTCCAAAAATGACTTCTAAACATTGGAAAACCAAATATTCAGAGCTAGTGGAGTGGAGCATGACACAAGGTTCTCACTTCTCATGACATTACAGAAATTATGAAGGCAATCCCTTAACCACTGTTTCAACTGAATGTTAAACCCCTGATTGCAAATATGAAACCAAGGACCTTTATATAAAATGCAAAATTCACATACCATCATCTATCTGGTCGTCAAAGCTGCCAAATATTTTCATATACACAAAAACATTGACAACCGAGTTGTGCTATAAAAACACTAAAACATCTTGAGGATTTCACTCAGTAATTCCATGCGGTCTGGCATTAATCAGTTGGACATCTTCAGAAAAAATATATTTCCTTAGTGAGGAAAAAATCTGGTTCTTCCAATAAAGTCACCTTCAGTGCTTCCCATGTTTATATTTTTGCTTAGAGAAGCATCATTAAAAAAAAAACAACTGAGAAGGAGCCAAGGATGATTTAATGATGCACTTACTGAAACCTCTGCAAAATGTCCTTTTTGTCAGCTTTTGATATACAAAATCTGCCCTGGCACTTCCAATACTAATATCCATTGTTTTCACCAGCAGAGTTCTGACTTCTGATTATGATTAATGCTAAATTATAAATACAAACAGAAGCAGAGGCCACATTGTTTCCAAAAAACCATATTAATATATCATTATAAATACTGTCAGCACTATTTGCCATCCAGTTCATTTCTCAGGAAATTATGTTAAATTAGCATGTAGCACTCCACACCACCTCTGTACATGCTGGAGGTGGCCACAGTACAAAAATCTGTATGGTTCCAAGTGTAGATCTGATGTGTCATGAAATGAAATGTTTCTCCACAGGCTGAATGCCTGAAAGGAGAGGGAACCTACTTCTAAACAAGCTTCCTCTTCCTTCCCAAACCAGTGGGGAAGGAAAGGGGGCAGTCAGACCTGTAAGTCTTATAGTAAACTTAAAGTTCTAACTGAAAAATACTCTGCTGCAAACCAAAGAAAAGTTTAATTCCATTTCTGAACCTTGAGTTCCTCACTGACCATTTATTTAGCCAAGTTAGAGTGTAATCTGTTCAGTGGAAACAGTGAAAACTATTAACTTCTCTGAGAAAAGCAGGCTCAAGGCTTAAGTCAAAATAGGTCTATGGGTAAACCTGACTTCAATTACCATGTATTTGGAAAAATCCTAGTGATGAAAATGCCCTAGTTCTTGCCCAGAAGGTCACCAGTCAGCCATTACTATTTCTGCAGTGCAAAGACAATGAAGGGAAGCTCTGTTTTAAGAGTAGATGAAGTTAGTTGCCTAAATCATGCATTGCATTAACCTGAAAGTTATTCAAACTTCCACTTCATAAAAAGGCAAACACAAAAGAGTCTCTCCTCTGATACATAAACAAACCTTGTGTGGACTAGAGATTAGCAATGTAAACTATGGAAGAGGAGCATGGTTAGCACTCGACAATTCTTATTAGTCTGGAAGCATTAAATCACTGCCTTGGCAATTTTGGCATATTAGTGTGACAAAGATTCATAATCATTTTGACTTCTCCTCACAACACCTTAGCTACATTGAGAACTTCATCCCAAATTGTCCAAATTCAAACAAAATAAACTCTATCTTTGAAGCTAGGCTTTCTACATAGATCCATCAGTGGGAACCATAGGCTCTAAGGCTCAGAGCTCACATTCACATGCTTGAATATCAGTATCTCGCTGGAACATGCCCCAGAAAGCATTTTTTCTGCTAAGATCAACAATGACAGCAGGTAACGCTTGCAGTCTGATTATTCACTTCTGCATATTTTAAAAGTCGAGAAGCAGCAGAAATCATATTTTTATACATTTTCTACTGTATGCATGATATAAGATCTTGATGGCTTGCTTGATTCAAACTATGATCTGACAAACTTGATGCCTATCACTGTACATTGTTTGTGGCAACAAACACCTTTAACCAACCAAGAGAGCACAAGCAAGCAATTAATTCTTCTAAGCTTTCATTAGGAGTTGCAGACTATTAGATTATTACAGCTTCATGCTGCATTTAATTTTACACAGTAACTACGTTTAAGAAGCAGGGTAAAATATTCACCAACCACAAAATACTGGCCCTTAGAAGTGGTGGAAGGTTCTAAGCACACTCTCTGGGTCTATTTTGACAATCTCCACTGTGTATTAAGACACAGGTTACAAAGCCTTATTGGCTTTGTTGTCTGGAATAATGATAAGTGACAAATTCCTTGTCATTAGCAATTAATGGTTCAAGAGTAATGTTTAGCACTCGTTACACAACTTTTTTTAAGCACTTAACAAGGAGATACCAACTTTTCCTTGCATTTTTAAAGGATGAACACACACTGAACCCACAGAAGATTTTAGGTGCCTCCTCACCAGAACAGTGCCTATAGCCCTCACATACCTAACAGAAGAGTGGGATTTCTGTACTTCAAGCTCACAAAACTTACCTTGATGACAGCAGGTTTGGTATGGTACTCAGGCTCAATGCTACGCCATGGGGAATAAGAGGCCTTCCTGGATTGATGCCACTGGCTCTTTTAAATTATGATTTTTTTTATCTAACTGTTCAGTAAACACAGAGCTCACCCAAGGCACAGCTGGGTGCTAAGTCCCAGTGCAGTGTGCAGAGAAATATTTGACCAGATGTGATATTCAAAATAGAACTGCTAGTTTCTCTTCTGAGTAGTGCTATCAGGTTCATGCAGTGGAAGAGGATTTGAAAAAGAAACAGAAGTAGGAAACTGAATTGGTAATTATTATTTCCTTTCTCCAGGGCACCCTTTACCAGCATCATCTCAAATCAGCTGCATCTCAAGTGAAGGTTGAGTCAAGCTGGAAAACTTATGGAACAGATTTCTCTTCTATGATCTCCCAAAGAATCTTCACAGCTGTTCTAGAACATGTGTCAACTGCAAAGTAAACTCATATCTACTTTCCTCCATCTATGTCTTAACAAATTTTGTTCTAACATTGTCCACTAGGTTTCCATTTCCATGTTTTGCCATCTGGATCTCATCGTTATACATACAAGTTACTTTCACCCACTTGGCTCACTTCATATGTTAAGCCTTTTTAAATGGCTTTAAAGATGATTTACTAAAAAAGCAGTGAAAGATCTAACACGGGAAGAGATTAACTTAAGTAGAGAATTTCTTGCTTTAATGTCAAAATTATTTTACCACTGACTTCTGGCTTCCCACATTGTTCAGCCAATTTCTGCCTTATTCATATTTGTTCTTTGACTTTATATATCTATACAAGCACATTAATTACTCAGAAGGAAACCACATTGACAGCAATGATCTACTCACAAATTTTAAACATCTGAAATATGAATGTGAAGTGTCAGAGAAGTAGAAAGAAGAAAAGGTCCAAACAATACTGCCTTGTTTCTGAAGCACTATGGAACACAGTAACTGAGCCCAAGAGTTAAAAACTTTATTAAATGAGTTTTCTTTTGCCTACTGAATTGTGCATTTCACCAAAACAGAACCAGGTTCCAAGAAAATAGTATCAGTCTGAAAGGACTTAGTTATTCCAATTACACTTTTAAATGGTTTTAAAAGTTTCTACTTTAAAGCCAAACTCTTATCTAACTTTGAAAGGAAAGAAAAAAGTACCTTAAAAAGACTTACAGTAAGAACATAAACCAGCATTGCCAACTAATTGCTCCTGCCCTATTCCTGGAGCAGGACAGAACCACCCTCTTTCTAGTTTATGTTCTCATACTTTCAGTAGGCCAAGTGGTACAGACCCAGGCAGGGCTCTTAAATTTTCCAGTATCTTCCTCAAAATGCTGTTCAGGACTGTATCTTTAAACAGGACAAAAACAGAAAGGAAAAAAAAAAAAAAGGAAAGCACCTCAATTTGATTCCTCCCAAAAGTGAATGGCATCTTTTGCCTTAAGATTTTTGTATGATCAGGAGTGAAATATTATAGATGAACCAGAAATGTTGCATTCTTTATCATTCTCCTCATCTGAATCTAAATTCAGCTGGTGAGACATATCAGTTCAGGGCTCTGTATGCCCTGGCACCTGGTACAGGAAGTCTGTCCCAATAACAGGCAACCATTTAGGCAAAAGTGAAGTTCTTTTTGATTCTTACCATCTCTAAGAAGCACTTTAAACTCTATCCAGAAATTAACAGGCAGCTCCTGGAGCTGCAGTGCCATAAGCATTGCAGAGATGCTGTTTTGGCAAATAAACCCCCACCCTATTTCCAGTATTAAATTAAAAAATAATTTTTAAAAGTGTAGTAAGAAAGGGCCAGGTTGAAAAAAAACGGCCAATCAGTCAAAAAGCTGTCTGAATTGCTTCTAAAACATGCTGTCAAAGAGCTGGGCTAATTTTTGACTATTAAGGTTTTCATTTGACTAGAGATCTAACAGCAGGCCCACTGTCTTCAAGGACTAATATTGCCTCTGGATGCTTCTCAATACCAACCAATAACCCAAATTTTTCTGGGCTAAACTTCAATCTATTTGTCCAGTACGAGCTTGGCACCATCTGGAACACACAGCCACACCATCTTCAGCTAAAGGGACAGGCGAGTCCCGCTGTGCTCACTTCTCGTAGACTGAAGGAAATCTACTGAGTTCTCCAACATCCCAAAAGTGACCTCAAAACCTTTGAGATTTGGGGCTTTGTTACACCATATACCTGATGGATTTCCACTGCTATGTTACAATGCATCTCCTGATTGGTTGGTGTTTCACTCACAAGCCAAGAAGATGGAAGAAAATGGATGCAAACTGGGGACTTACTGTTTTCTAAGGATGTCATGACATTTGCAATTCCTTCTCAACTTATAAGAGGGGAACTAAGCCAAACCCTATATCCACTGTATTTGCAATTATTCACATTGCAAAAGCAATCAAAAGAGCTGGGTTTGGCTTGGTAACATTTTCTATTTTCTCCACAGTATTACTTCAACTGTTTTAGGCTATTCTCTGTCCCTGTTAAAAGCCACCTTGCCAGAAACCTGCCACTTTCCCATGTGAATGCACTTGTCACCAAAATTAATTGCCACCCTGCATTAGTGGTTCGAAGAGCCTCCTGATAGGAGCTCAGGAAGAACAGAAAATGGGGCAAAAGTGATGCATTATCCCTAAAATGCCGCTACTTCACTTGTCAGGGATTGCAATCAGAGTTAGGCCAAGGCAATGTTAGCTCAGCTGCATCTGAACACACCTGTTTCAATTTAATTTGCAGTAATTAGGAAGCCTAGGGCACCAGGAAAAATTGCTGTTCGCTCACTCTTTCAAATAACTGAGTTTTCATGTGCCATTTAAAATGCTGTTTTTCAGAACAGACTGCTGACTTGCTAATGCTAGGAAAATGAAATACAGCAAAATATTTTTAGCAGCAGGAAGTTGTTACTTGCTACTGCCAATTACATGGCTTGTACTTGAACAGTGACATTTTTTTTCCCCTTGCTTACACTTCAAGATAGGTAAAAGCTGGCTGAGGTCTCAGGGCATGAGGATTTGAATAAAACTTAGTCCCTGGGAGCTGGCTGATATTTCTGGAGTCATAGTCAGTACTGGCAGCAATCTGCTGTGACAGAGCAAACAACAGTGTCCCAGATCCACTCCTCAAAAACGGGAAAAGGAGAGGATTAAGCAAGAGACTTGGATCTATTGGCTTTGGCAAAAGGCTGAATAGCTTGTCATGCTAAAAAAATTACTGAAATTGGGGAGTAGAAAATGGGGCAGAGGGGGGAGAAATAAAAAAAGCATTACAATTACATAAGAATAGATATTTATACTCTGAGTTAATTTATCAAACTGACAGAGAGATGAATCATCCACCATTAAAATAAGGGAATACAAGTTTTCTTTATATCCCAATCATTATTTACAACTTTTAAATATTAACGGAGGAGTCAAGTATCCTCATCTTTTAATTTAAAATGTGGCCATGCAGGCCAAAATAAAACTCTTGGCAAAAATAAGTTTCTGCAGGAACAGGGCCCAAAGAATGATTTTTTCAAAAACAGGACAGATCTTAGCAATCATGATGGTACTTCTTTTTTTCTTTTAAATCTACACTGCAAACCACAGAGGGCTCAATAAACTCACACAAACCTAGAGCTCTGTAACAAAAGAATGAGAAAGGACAATAACAAGACCCTGTGGTGTAGCTAGACACAGCTACTTAGGACTTTTTAAAATATAACACAAACCTGATTTTTTTTCAGGGGACATACAGCTCTGCTTTGAGGCAAGTTCATTCCCACATGCTGAGAATCCAATTGAAGCCAATACAGTCCCTCTCACTAAACTAACTTGAATAGATGCATGCATTTGTACAAGTAAAACTGTATTATTTTAGTAATTGGCCTTTTTGTTGCTACAATGCCATTAGAAACTACCATGCCACTGTCTATTTTTCTATCTTAGAACACTTTCCTGCCCAATCCTCCTCACCCAAAAAAAAAAAAAAGAAAATTATCTGGGAGATTCACAGAACTGCTTCCTGAATATTGCTTTGACAATTTTGGAATGCTTTTAATATTATCAGTTAGTATTTTTTGTAGACTGGCATGTGCTTAAAAACTGGACAAGAAAACAGAAAAAGAAATCCATATAATAAAGTGAGGTTTAGCGTTCAGCACCTTTTTTCACCTCTTAGGTGAACTTTATGGAATATAAAAGTGTTTGCCTGAAGCTATGCTTATATAAGGATATGGGACACCCACATATATGTCACACATGATTTTAAAACTATGAAAAATCAGAAAGTATGAGGCTGGATCTTCATTTATTCATTAGCCTTTGGTGCTTCAACAGGCAATTTCTTTATAATCCAGGATTTTAATTTTTCTATTTCAGTTCTGTTCAGCTCATGATTGAGGTTTGGAAAAGTATGAAGTGACGTTGATACTCCCAGAGACTTTAACATCTTGTTGGTCTCTTCACCCCATGAGTAGAGAACTAGATTATCAGCAGTTCCATGGCACTGAAATAATTCTGGAAGAGCTCTTTCATTTCTTTTCAAAGCCTAGATGGAAAGGAAACACTGTCAGACATACTGCCAAAAATTTAAAAGGAATATTTACAATTACATGGTGACAATTATTGCACTTACTGATCTACATTTTAGGGGTTATACTGTACTATCTCTATAGAAGTAAATAAGGAAATACTGGAAAAAACTGCCCTTCAAGTTTTAATACAAGAACTCTTGACAAATGGTAGTGTTTACTTTAAGGTCTATATCCCTCTCCAAATAAGAGAAAGAGAAAAAACTCATGACAGCAAATGGAGCTCGTATTATAATGCATCACACATTTTAAAAGAATACTTATGCTTACACAGTCTTTTTAACAATTAAGGACAACTAGTAAAGCATTTCATTTATTAATCTCTTTCAACACTTTAATATTGTATTGTCTGTGCAAAAAAGTGCAATAAAACATTATTTAAAGACAGCTTTAAAGCCTCACTTTCCTAATATTCTGCTTATCTATCTCCCGGAAGTGACATAAGTTTAGAATGTGAATCAACTGCCTCAGACGTATAAACATGTATACTGAATTTTAATCACCATGTTTTCTTATAGCTAAACATGTTTTCTATAATATCTACTACACACTCACCTGGTAAACAGCAGAGTCTTTATTCAGAAAACTGGACAAGGCAAAGACTCCTGCCAGATCCTGATGAAACCTAAAGGCCAAATGCATTGCCATTCCACCTCCCATTGAAAAGCCTCCTAGGATGCACCAAAAGAAAAAAATATTTTTCTATAAGTCTTTGTAACCCAATGTACAATTTATTATCTTCAGACTTGTTTCTTTAATACATAATATAAAAAAAAACAAACCCATCTTGAGTATCATAAAGTTTACAAAGATTTTAGAATTACAGAGTCACTTAGGTTGGATAAAATCTCTAAGATCATAAAGCCCAGCCTATGACTCAACACCACCTTGTCAAGTAGACCATTGCACCAAGTTCCACATTCATTCATTTCTTGAGCACCTCCAGAGACAGTGCCTCCAGCACCTCCCTGGGCAGCCCATCCCAAAAGTTTAACAACCTTTTTGTGAAGAAATTCTTTCTGACATCCAACCTGAACCTGATGTGGCATAGCTTGAGGTTTAAATCAAAGCATGATGCAATTAAGACAATGGATAGCTAAAGCAGTGCTGAATATTCATTACTGAGAGAGGACAAAAAATGCCATCAAGTAATACTTCAGAAGGTATTCAGGTAGCTGAATACTGTGGACATGCATACTCTGACATAAATGAAGTAAAACTCTCTGAACAGGTAATTTTCACTGCTTTTTGTATTCAAGTTATTTCTCCCCTAGGCTAGCAGCATTCACACACGAAAGATCTCTATTTTGCATAATCAATGAGCACTCACATTCAAGTAGTAATGAGGATATTTTTGCTGTTATACCTTGGGATATATCATAAATAGGGAACAAATGCAATGTATATCCCTGAGCTCTAACAGGATCTCTGAACTAACGGCCCTCTGTCGTCCATATGTCTCTTCAACTACACTAATTCCTTACCAAAGGTAATTCCTCAGGGATGGTTTTTATATGACAAATGCTTATTCAGTAGGAAAGAAATCCAGACAACTACATTACTTCACAAGGACACAGTACACAGGCCATTATATTGACTGGATCCAGATAATGAATAGAGTGAAGCTTCCTTTATTTTCTTATGCACAATATGGTCACTTATTTCATTTCCTTTTGATCATTCTGAAGAATGCTGTCATTTCCAAACCCCAAAAGAAGCAGCTGTACTCTAAGAGACCATTTTGCTTTTGCTTAGAAATAAATACAGACAATGCTTTATCAACAAAATAAAATGAAGTCCATTTTAAGTATTTCAGATTACAGGAAGAAAAGCTGCATTGAAAAGTCATTACTAGTTTGTAAATGATTTAATCTTAAAATTTTGTACCCAGTTAGTCACAATCTGGCACACTGTCTGCAATTACTCACCAGCAGTCTTTGACAATGCAGTCACCTTCTGTTTAGAAGAATATTAGGTAATGGTTCTTTTATGTGGCTCATACTACTACAAGAAAATGCAATACAAAGGACTAGCTCTTTGAATTTGATTTGCATGGGAATACCTGAAGTTTATCACACAATACCACAACAATCTCTGAGTAAAGGCCATATGCTAAATGCTTCAAAAACAACAATTCGAATAAGCATTTATAGATGCAGACTATTTTTTCAATTAAAAGAACCATTTCAGTATATGTGCATGTTTGACATAACACATAAAAGACACTCTTAGTCAAGAACATCTAAAATAATTCAAATTTTGGATGAAGGAAAAATAAAAGGAAGGTATAGATATTACACAAAGCCAATGTATAAAATGACAAGAGTGTAAACAAAACATAAAAGTACATGTATACAGATGATCTCGCCATGAAGAATACATAAACTGTACAGCATTGTTAAGCAGATTGTGTCAGGAGTGTTAGATAAAATCAAAATGACACAGCAACATTTCATCCTTAGATGGGCAGAACACTGCAAGGTCTTCACCAATCTACTTCTCTACTTGAGACCAATCTACCTTCAAGAAACACAAAGACTGTGCACAGAAGTTCAGAATTTGCCAGAAGGTCTTAAATTCAGAAGTACATTCACTTTCAGTTTTCCCCTCATGCCTATTTTATGAGAACTGTGATTAATGCTTCACAACAGTTAAACAGGGTTAGCTCAACAATGCTCAGGATGCCAGTTCAGGAAAGCACCTAACTCTTTGTGTTACCTTCCCTGACTCACAAAGGAGGTTTATGTGTAGACTAATAGGGGAGCACACACAAAAGACTCAATTAGGTAAAACACTTCCAGTTGCAGAGAAAGTTCACTCAAGGATGCATTTATGACCTTGAATCTGCTTCAGTGTAGTGCTGATTTTTAGGTAGCACCCCTCTGCAATAAGAAGAAAGCTGCTTGTGACTCACCTTGACAGCTGAGAAAGATCTGCTGAAATCAGACAATCATCACACTTCCAAATTAAAAAATTTGAATCAGAAGGAAACTCCCATGCAATACTTTACTAAAACTAAAACATTCTTTTCTGGAATATAATCTGTAACTAAATTCGGGTGATATCAGGCACAGGATGATGTAACACAATGTGAACAGAAACAGAATTTTTCAAATGGAATTTATTCCTGATTGAATGAGACAGAAATCCTCACCACAGTTGCCATTTTTCAGTGATAAAACATTCCTTGTAAATGGCCTTAGGAGCCTTTTAAACAAAACTCCAGTTCATTTTTGTAAAAGATCTTGATTTGTATTAATTTGCTTCCCATTTGTATTTGCCTGAAATGATAATCTGGTCCATGATGACATTTGAACGTTACACAGGGTTCAGGAAACCAAGTATTTACCTACTGTCAAACTTTAGCTTTATTTGTTTCTTTATACTTTGTCTAACAATGTCTGTGTTTGCATCTCAGAAAAGACAAACTTTATTATCCAGCACAAAGATTTATTTTGTATCTCCTGTCCTGTATACATAAGAGAATGCTAAAAACTGCCTTCTCCCCTATGCATCACTTTAGTGGCTGCAATGAATTCACAAAGTTCTTTAGGTGTTCAGTCTTCTTCACAGAAAAAACAGCTCTCTAGCACACACAGGTTTGACATTGCCAAGTGCATCCTGAATCATACAAACCTGACTGTAAATCACCTTAGTCCATTTGTTATAATGATCATGGAAACATCACTTTTTCATGCTTTTCAGTAAAACTTTAACATGTGCCCAAAGCTGCTTGCCATACTAGAAATCACAGCCATGGGGGAAAAAAACAATTATGAATTATATCTAGTGCACAAATTTTGAAGAGAAAAAAGAACAGGAGAAGCTAAACCCCAGATTTTGATGAGATTAGGATTTGGACTTGGGTGCAGGGATGCAGTTTGGGGTGTTTGTTTTAAGCAATATTTCTTCACTAGTTTCTCTGTATTAGTTGTTCTTCATCTTTCCTGTATTTTTTCCCATTTGTCAGTACAGCTTTAGTAACGAAGTGGCAAGAAATGAATCCTCCAGCACACAGAGCCTGTGCCAGCCCAGCACAAGACAAACACTCTTCTGTTGTATAAGGCTACACCAGCACAGTCAGAAATTGTCTTGGCCTGTTCTGATATTATTACAATACATTACATACTCTTGCCTACTTTTCATTCCATTCTCACAGCATTTTTCATTCTCAATTTTTCCTTTTTTAGTATTTCAACTTAAAGTTGCTCTAATCAGTTTGTTATCAAGAATTTCTCCCTTAAGTTACATTCCAGTTTACTTTCCCTCTCCCTAGGGACTAGGTGGTTTACCTTATATTAACGGCAACAGCACAACCTTGTTCTACACAGCATCTGCAAAGAAGCTGACTTTCTGTTTCGGCCTTCCATTTTCATCAATGAATGGAAGTATTATATACATTTAACAGTGTACACAAATGAATATCAGCAAAGAGTACAAATGCCAGTGGAACAGCAAACTCCCTTCTCCACAGAACTCCCTGAACACTGCTCCTGTGTTAAGTATTCAAACACTTGCTTTGTCTCAAGTGAATTTCCTCACAGCAGTGATTTTCTCCTTTTAATCTCTTCATGAAACTTCACCAAACCCAAACTTTGCACAGCAGCAGAACTGCAATGAACGATTTCCACCTTTGATAGCCTTGTTATTCTGGTTGTTACTTAGTCTTTACAAGAGCAACAAACTTGAGAGTCGTTATAAGAACAAAGGCAACTTCCCTTGAGTGGTTCAGCCACTTGCTCTTGTTAGGAACGTGAATTAACTTGCTCCCCAACTTCCTCACCAGTCAAAACACATTTTGAAATGCATATTTAAGTGGTATGACTTTTACCACTTTCTTGTAAAAACAAGTGTACTATTGTTTCTAACCAGTTACATTTTATTTTCAACTATTACAGGTAATAGAGGGGAACCCAACATGTGTACCTAAGGGGCTGTAATTTTTAGCACTGGAAGGAAAATAAAATCCATTAAAAGTCTCGAATCATTTTTTATTTAGATGTTACTCTGCCAATCTATGGCTTGCTTCATTTACCCAGTGTGTGTTGTCTTGGTTGTTTCTACAGAGGACAGCAGTGTCTTGCTGCAACACTAACCTGTCATTTTTACAGTCAGCATAACTGCACGACATGGGTAAAAGGAAGAGAAAAACCTATCCTTTATGCTCACAGTATTTGTGACTCTAAACTGAATCACAGGTAGGAAAGTGGAAAATTGCTCTCTAAAGCAAAGAGTAGCAATGCACAGAAACAAGCTGCTGTTCTGCAGAGCTGTGAACCTTCTGTTAGCAGAGGTCTTTTAGAATTCAGAAAAGCAATGATAAGGATTTGCCTAAATAGAACTGAGCCTGCACTGGCACATGACAATGGAATAGCAAATGCTGTGAAGTCTCACTTTTCTGTGACTCTGTTGGCATAACTGTGAAGAAAGTACAGGTTAATTTGTACCCTGTGGCATGTCTGCACAACTCCCAAGCATTCTAAAAGCCCATCCATCCATCCATTTAATTTTGCACTGAATTCAGGTATTTATTAAAGATGAGTAAGGACATGTCTTCAACAGAGTTCTTAGTAAGGCTGAAAAGCTCAGAACTTGATTATATATAATTATTTTCTTACCAAAGCCATTATCTTATATGCAACGACAATATCATGATTGAATTATTTTTGAA